TTGAACGTCTTGGACTCGGTCTTGTCTCGGTCTTGAATGTGCTTGGACTCGGTCTTGTCTCGGTCTTGAATGTGCTTGGACTCGGTCTTGTCTCGGTCTTGAACATGCTTGGACTCAGTCTTGTCTCGGTCTTGAAGGCGCTTGGACTCGGTCTTGTCTCGGTCTTGAATGTGCTTGGACTCGGTCTTGTCTCGGTCTTGAATGTGCTTGGACTCGGTCTTGTCTCGGTCTAAAAGGCGCTTGGACTCGGTCTTGTCTCGGTCTGAATGTGCTTGGACTCGTCTTGTCTCGGTCTTGAAGGCGCTTGGACTCGGTCTTGTCTCGGTCTTGAAGGCGCTTGGACTCGGTCTCGTCTCGGTCTTGACTCAGTCTTGTCTCGGTCTTGAATGTGCTTCGGACTCGGTCTTGTCTCGGTCTTGAATGTGCTTGGACTCGGTCTTGTCTCGGTCTTGAATGTGCTTGGACTCAGTCTTGTCTCGGTCTTTGAACGTCTTGTCGGTCTTACTGTCTCGTCTTGTGCTCGGACTGGTCTTGTCTCGTCTTGAAGGCGCTCGGACTCGGTCTTGTCTCGGTCTTTGAATGTGCTTGGGCTTGGACTCGGTCTTGTCTCGGTCTTGAACGTGCTTGGACTCGGTCTTGTCTCGGTCTTGAACGTGCTTGGACTCGGTCTTGTCTCGGTCTTGAACATGCTTGGACTCAGTCTTGTCTCGGTCTTGAAGGCGCTTGGACTCGGTCTTGTCTCGGTCTTGAATGTGCTTGGACTCGGTCTTGTCTCGGTCTTGAATGTGCTTGGACTCGGTCTTGTCTCGGTCTAAAAGGCGCTTGGACTCGGTCTTGTCTCGGTCTTGAATGTGCTTGGACTCGGTCTTGTCTCGTCTCTCGGTCTTGAAGGCGCTTGGACTCGGTCTTTGTCTCGGTCTTGAAGGCGCTTGGACTCGGTCTTGTCTCGGTCTTGAAGGCGCTTGGACTCGGTCTTGTCTCGGTCTTGAAGGCGCTTGGACTCGGTCTTGTCTCGGTCTTGAAGGCTCGGACTCAGTCTTGTCTCGGTCTTGAATGTGCTTGGACTCGGTCTTGTCTCGGTCTTGAACATGCTTGGACTCGGTCTTGTCTCGGTCTTGAATGTGCTTGGACTCGGTCTTGTCTCGGTCTTGAAGGCTTGGACTCGGTCTTGTCTCGGTCTTGAAGGCGCTTGGACTCGGTCTTGTCTCGGTCTTGAATCTCGGTCTTTCTTGAATGTGCTTGGACTCGGTCTTGTCTCGGTCTTGAACGTGCTTGGACTCGGTCTTGTCTCGGTCTTGAAGGCGCTTGGACTCGGTCTTGTCTCGGTCTTGAATGTGCTTGGACTCGGTCTTGTCTCGGTCTTGAACATGCTCGGACTCGGTCTTGTCTCGGTCTTGAATGTGCTTGGACTCGGTCTTGTCTCGGTCTTGAAGCTTGGACTCGGTCTTGTCTCGGTCTTGAAGGCGCTTGGACTCGGTCTTGTCTCGGTCTTGAATGTGCTTGGACTCGGTCTTGTCTCGGTCTTGAACGTGCTTGGACTCGGTCTTGTCTCGGTCTTGAATGTGCTTGGACTCGGTCTTGTCTCGGTCTTGAACGTGCTTGGACTCGGTCTTGTCTCGGTCTTGAAGGCGTCTTGAACTCGTCTTGTCTTGAACTTGGACTCGGTCTTGTCTCGGTCTTGAATGTGCTTGGACTCGGTCTTGTCTCGGTCTTGAAGGCGCTTGGACTCGGTCTAGTCTCGGTCTTGAATGTGCTTGGACACGGTCTTGTCTCGGTCTTGAATGTGCTTGGACTCGGTCTTGTCTCGGTCTTGTCTCGGTCTTGAACATGCTTGGACTCGGTCTTGTCTCGGTCTTGAATGTGCTTGGACACGGTCTTGTCTCGGTCTTGTCTCGGTCTTGAATGTGCTTGGACTCGGTCTTGTCTCGGTCTTGTCTCGTCTCGGTCTTGAACATGCTTGGACTCGGTCTAGTCTCGGTCTTGAATGTGCTTGGACACGGTCTTGGTCTTGTCTCGGTCTTGAATGTGCTTGGACTCGGTCTTGTCTCGGTCTTGTCTCGGTCTTGAACACGCTTGGACTCGGTCTTGTCTCGGTCTTGAATGTGCTTGGACTCGGTCTTATCTCGGTCTTGAATGTGCTTGGACTCGGTCTTGTCTCGGTCTTGAAGGCGCTTGGACTCGGTCTTGTCTCGGTCTTGAATGTGCTTGGACTCGGTCTTGTCTCGGTCTTGAAGGCGCTTGGACTCGGTCTTGTCTCGGTCTTGAATGTGCTTGGACTCGGTCTTGTCTCGGTCTTGAATGTGCTTGGACTCGGTCTTGTCTCGGTCTTGAAGGCGCTCGGACTCGGTCTCATCTCGGTCTTGAATGTGCTTGGACTCGGTCTTGTCTCGGTCTTGAAGGCGCTTGGACTCGGTCTTGTCTCGGTCTAAAAGGCGCTTGGACTCGGTCTTGTCTCGGTCTTGAAGGCGGACTCGGTCTTGTCTCGGTCTTGAATGTGACTCGGTCTTGTCTCGGTCTTGAAGGCGCTTGGACTCGGTCTTGTCTCGGTCTAAAAGGCGCTTGGACTCGGTCTTGTCTCGGTCTCGACAAGTGATAAAATGGAGATAATTTATAAAAACATTGATATAAATGCGCCAAAATAACTGTAAAATACAAATAAATGTCAAAAAAGGACAAAGATGGTCTTGATTTGGTCTCGATGGGCCTGGTCTTGGCCTTTAAAAGTCTTGGTCTTGTCCTGGTCTTGGTCTCGATTAGTGCAGTCTTGACTACAACACTCACTTTTAAAGTTGCATCTCGGTTCCACTGTTGTGACGCATCGACCAATCAGCTTCACACACCTAGTGTGAAGTGGCAGAAGCACTTTGTTCCTACATGAACTGACCACCTCTTACACTTCAATAAAAAAAAAAAAGACATTGTGGAATTCGTCATATTTGTTTTTGCAGTTTGGGGGATTATTTTTCCTGTACACATATCGAGATCTATATCGAATATCGAGATAAAGCAAAATATATCGAGACATATTTTTTGCTCCATCACCCAGCCCTAATAGTTTTAGTTTAGTTTAGTTTATTGTACTTATTTAGTGTCATGCACCATTTATTTACTTAAACATAAGTGTCCTTTTACGTTGGTCCCAGACTTTCAGCACAAACTGAGCCAACTTGAAAACATTACATTTAAACAAATACTTCAGTCTCTCCTCAACAGACACAAACCAACAGTAAGACACATCAGACACAACTGACAGAGCAGATCATGATACAAAGGACAGTAAAACAGAAAATGCATTTCATTTTCAACGTCCTTTAAGTCTCATTTCCAAGGCCAGAGTCAGAGTCCCACACCTCAACTGGGCACATACTGACCTCTGACCTCTGACCTCTGCTCAGGTTCAGAGTGACATAGTAATAATAATAATGATCATTTTAATACAAAAACGTTCACGATTAGTCGATAATTGATCGTTATTCTCCCGACGATCGATTAAGAAAATTTTATCGAATGCCCATCCCTAGTCGGAGAGGCTGACGGCGCAGACTGTCAGCCTCTCGTGTGTCATTATGCCCCAGGGCAGCTGTGGCGACAGAACTACAGCCTCTAATGAGAAATGATCGATGCATACGATTGTAAAGCGACTTCTGAGCATCAAGAAAAGTGACATATACAGTAAAAGTCTAATGCATTTTTACAGTAAGTTGCCATGGAAACTGACAGACACTTGGCTCACTTTGCTGTTTGTGTCTGGTTCAGTGGGTGAAATGTCTTGCCCAAGAGCACAACAACAGTGTGCAAAAGTCTTTTATAACCGAGCAAATGTATCTGTGCACCAGCTGCTTCTGTCCTTAATGAAAGTTGTGAAACACCTTATAGAAAAAATCACCTTTTATCTTTACAAATGAGTGATTCCCGGGTGCGTTTGACTTTCACTCCGGTTCAGACGCGAGTTTGTGGCTCAGTGATTTTCTGTTTGAGTTTTGCATCAGATCTGCTCCTAAAACAACAACAGAGCTGCTCCTCAAAACAAAAGGTTCCCGCGCGATTCCCACAGACAGGACCAGTCTAACACAACAACGCGCAGAGGCTCAAGGGCACAAGGGCAGAGAGGTGACAGGACCAGGGATGTGGACCTGGAATTTTATGACTCAAGAATGTGAACTGCCCCATTTGAATTAAATATTATTGTCCAAAAATCATGATATCCTCTATAATCCAGCAGTAGAGTTTGAATAGAAGCGTATTTGACTGTTGCTCTGAATGTTTCTCTCTTTCATTCTTTCTCAAACTGACTCTTTCTCTGCTCAGTGTTGAACTGTTGGTTTGGATTTTCTCTGTTGGTGATTGTGGCCGCGACAAAACAGAAGGTGATTGTGCGTCAGGTTTGTGCTGAGGACAGAGAGGTGTTCAGGTGAAACAGGGACCTCTGTGTCGTCTGAGGTCAAAGGTTAACAACACACGCGACCCCCGACCCCCCTCCCTCCCCAGGGCCCCGTACATGAGCTGAAAGAGCCGCACACACGAACAGTACAGAAGAGAGAGAGAGAGAGAGAGAGAGAGAGAGAGAGAGAGAGAGAGAGAGAGAGAGAGAGAGAGAGAGACAGAGAGAGAGAGAGAGAGAGAGAGAGAGAGAGAGAGAGAGAGAGAGAGAGAGAGAGAGAGAGAGGAGAGGGGGGGGGGGGGGGGGGGGGGGGGCAGAGGAACCATGAGAGGGAAACCTCTGTTTCTGACTCACGTGCCAGACTCAGAAACAGAGATTATTATTATTCACGGTGACCGTGCGCGTGAGCGGCGGTGTTCAGTGTTTTGTAGTAGTAGATTGTTTTATCATTAGCTCAGAGCCTCGTGCATCACAACTACACTACTGTAACTGTAACTGTAACTGTAACTGTAACTATCAGAACTATTAGAACTCTAACAGTTTCAGTGACAGTGTCGCGTGAGTAAACGCTGCACGTGCATGAGATGAGTTTTCAGTAGAAACACGTGCGCGTGTGTACTGACCGTGCGCGTTCCTCCCGCTCAGCAGCTGCGCGTGCACCTGCAGAGGCGCCCACAGCTCCGGGTCCAGGTCCACGGTGGAGTCCAGGCGCGCGGAGGTCACGGCTCCGGGCTCGTGGTTTTCTCTGGCCGCGTGCAGCGCGCGCACCACGATCTCCTCCACAAGCCCCTCCGTGCACGCGGTCAGGTACACGGCTGCGTACTCACGCACGCGCACAGACACGCGCGTGTCCACCATCCACCTGAAGAAGCGGCCCACGGAGAGCACGAGCCCGCAGCTGGAGGACTTGCTGCGCGTGCGCGCGGTGTCGCTGCTCATACAGTGGAGAGACACCGCGCGCACCGCCGCCGCGACGCACCGCTCCGACAGACCCGCGCTCAGGACGATCCGCACCGCGCTCCGCACCTCCAGGCGCGTGCACCGCCGGTGAACCGCGCTCAGTCTCTGCGCCTCGCGCGCAATGCGCATCACCGGGTTCCTCACGAGCGCGGACAGACGCCGCACCGCGTCTCCGGTGAACGCATCCCAGCCGCACGCGCGCCGCACCACCTCTCGCAGCTCGTGCGCACTCCAGGGGTACTCCTCGAGCTCCGGGAGCCGCGGCAGAGACCGGAGGTCCTCACTGAACCAACTCCCGCTCCGCGCGTCCCAACTCCCGCCGCCGCTGCTCACGGAGCCGCTGCTCGCGCTCCTGCGCACGTGGCCCGGCTCCAGGCTCGTCATGGTCCAGACTGAGTCCAGGACCAAGTCCCGCTGAACTTGGGGTCCAGAGAGCGCGCCCCCGCGGGGCCCAGAGAGCACGCCCCCGCGGGACCGGAAGTGCCCGCCGCTGGAGCCGCGATCCCAGAAAAACAAAAGAACTGTTCAAGAACCAAGAACAAGAATCAGACTTTTAATGAAACAAGTCATTTATTTAAATGTTCTAACTATGAACAGCTGTAAACAGGAGTCACTGAGGGTTTTCCACACAGTCGATGAACTTTACACACACATCAGATCCACTTCATGAACAGAACAGACTTTTGTTTATGTCGCTGCAGTTTATAAAGTTTTATCAAGTTCATCAGGGACATGCGTTTAACGACCTGACCGCTAGAGGGCGGCCTCCCACTGTCCTGATCACAGACACAACTGTCATGTTCCAGTTTCTTCATGTTTCATCCATGTATTATTCAATATTAAGACAGTTTAAATAAATAGAGGGTCAGCAGTGAGCCAGCTCACACAAACATAAGGCATCAGACCAGTTACAAAAAATAAAACCTGCTTTAGCATAAACACCTTTTCTTTCACTGTCCACAAACTCACAGGAGCAGAACTCGGCTCAGCGTCATGGTTCAGAGCTCCTTTAAAACATCAACACTGAAGAAAAAAACGAACATTTCCTGTGACACTTTACGGTTCAAGTTTGTTCAAACATGGCACGCTGCAGCTTAAAGGTCCTGTGTTATGTTTTAGTCAGAGTTTTTGAACTCATGTTGAGACACTTCAAAGTTATAGCTTGAAATTTATTCCTAAGGACGTAGAGAACAAGTCAAACAAGTAATTCAGCCTTAAAAACATGGGCCCTGCCTGGATTAACACCTAATGACATCACAGGGTGGAACCAAATGAAAAACAAACAGAGATTAAGAGCGTTCTGACATGACTAAAGCCCAAAAAGTCATGGTAACATACCACAGGACCTGGAGACGGTGAGTGTGATGGTCAGGTTGGCACATGTGTTTGTTTGGCACTGGCAGCTCACACACACTCACAGCTCTGCAGATTCTTATTGTTCTGGGCAGTTTAACAGCTTTTCTGAACATGGATTGTGCTTATTAAGACTCTGACATACAAGTCCTTTTACTCTGAAATTCTGTAGAAAAACCTGGACATTACGCTGAGAACGGCTGCCACATCTTTGTCCGTCTGCCCCAGGGCGGGTGTGGCCACGTATTACCACACGCTTTGACAAAACTTCACAAAGACGAGTGGGTCTGGAGGGACATTCGGTCTCACATCCTCTTTCCCGAGCCACAGACTGTATAAAGAAGTGGACTGAGCGAGTGTGACGTCGCCCGCAGCGATCCAGTCAAATGAAGCTCATCGAGGCTGCGGTTAGAAGAGCGAATCTGGAGAATCTGGGGTTTCGTTTTAGGAATTTGGACCAGAAGTATCAAAGCGACCAAAGAGTCAAACTGGAGCCACGCTGTTGCCCCTTACAGGAAACCAGGTCTAAACGAGCACTAATCCAGGACTAAACCAGGACTAAAATCAGGACTAAACCAGGACTAAACCAGGACTAAAATCAGGACTAAAACCAGGTATAAACCAGGACTAAACCAGGACTAAAATCAGGACTAAACCAGGACTAAAATCAGGACTAAACCAGGTATAAACCAGGACTAAAATCAGGACTAAAACCAGGTATAAACCAGGACTAAACCAGGACTAAAATCAGGACTAAACCAGGACTAAAATCAGGACTAAAACCAGGTATAAAACCAGGACTAAAACCAGGACTAAAACAGGACTAAACCAGGACTAAACCAGGACTAAAATCAGGACTAAACCAGGACTAAAATCAGGACTAAAACCAGGACTAAACCAGGACTAAACAGGACTAAACCAGGACTAAAATCAGGACTAAACCAGGACTAAAACCAGGACTAAAATCAGGACTAAACCAGGACTAAACCAGGACTAAAATCAGGACTAAAACCAGGTATAAACCAGGACTAAACCAGGACTAAAATCAGGACTAAACCAGGACTAAAATCAGGACTAAAACCAGGTATAAACCAGGACTAAACCAGGACTAAAATCAGGACTAAAACCAGGTATAAACCAGACTAAACCAGGACTAAAATCAGGACTAAACCAGGACTAAAATCAGACTAAAACCAGGATAAACCAGGACTAAAATCAGGACAAACCAGGACTAAACAGGACTAAAATCAGGACTAAATCAGGACTAAACCAGGACTAAAATCAGACTAAAACCAGGTATAAACCAGGACTAAACCAGGACTAAAATCAGGACTAAACCAGGACTAAAATCAGGACTAAAACCAGGTATAAACCAGGACTAAACCAGGACTAAAATCAGGACTAAATCCATGACTAAAACCAGGTATAAACCAGCTCTAAACCAGGACTAAACCAGGACTAAAATCAGGACTAAAACCATGACTAAAACCAGGTATAAACCAGCTCTAAACCAGGACAAAAAACAGCTCCAAACCAGGTCTAAACCAGGAATAAACCAGAAATAAACCATAACTAAAACCAGGTCTAAAACCAGGTCTAAACCAGCTCTAAACCAGGACTAAACCAGGAATAAACCAGAACTAACACCAGGACTAAAATCAGGAGTAAAACCAAGTCTAAAACCAGGTCTAAACCAGGATTTAACCAGGACTAAACTATGCCACGTAGGCTCGTCTGTCTTTACCTACTTTAATGGGAGGCTCACATTCACCCAATCTGAAAACCCCTGGTAAACACGAACACCATTTTTAAATCCCCGCCTCCTCGCGTTGTGGCTGTGAATTACTTTGCCGCGCACAGACCTCGCCGCAGATCCATGAATCAAAAACGACGGGGACAAAGCGGCGGCGGCGGCAGTGTGCGTTCAGTCGATGCAGAACTGTAATTCGGCCTTAACTCTTAATTAAGAGCTCTCTGTAGTACGCTCATTCACAGATCTCGCTTCTTCGGCAGCACGGCCTTACCTAACCAAATTCCTGTGGGAAACACTGATTACTGTATAGTATTTTTCACATTTAAAATCAACAGTGCACCTTATAATCCGGTGCCTTTCGTATTAATTCTGGTTATGTTTACTGACCTCGAACCAGTTTTCACATACTATATTCCACTGAGTCATGTCCTTTAGTCCGACAGAAGCTAAACCGCTCCTTAATGAGCTGTTTTTTGTTTTGTTTTTCCCCCAGCACTTATAGTTTATGCCAATGAGCGATGTGGTTTTAAGTTTAATTTCTGTAAAACGTAAACAAATGTGCTCAAAGCTGCATTAAACACACTATTACTCAGTGTCTATTTGAGTCGACCTCGTAGGGAATAAAAAAGTCTCAAGTGTCGTCCATTTGTTTCGCTTAAAGGTTGTATGGAGGATTTTTTTTTTTATTTCAAATTGTCAATGAAAGTTTAAAATACCAGTACAGAGACGCAGCAGCCTCGTAATTATGATGACCAAAAAAAAAAAAGAATGAAAATCTATCAACTGTGGACGTAGTGAGGCCAGATAAACATCAGCCAATAGAAAACAAGGCTACCTCATTTCCTATTGGCTGTTAGGTTGTCAATCAAACTCCCTACGTTTCTACTGTAACTGACTCGTCGGTGCGCGGGGATTATGTAGTTTATGCAGCAGTTTTTAGAGAATTTTTCAAACTGTAGCTTCCTCGTAATTCGCACAAAGTTTGTTGCGATGGCGGACGAGAATCAACGACCGGTTCGCCGTAAAAGAAAGTCAATTTTTGAGGTCGCTGAAAGAAGAAGAGAAGGGGAAAAGGAGCCAAGACAAACTGAGGTGATTCTTGGAGATCTCTTCCAGCGATTGGACGAATGAAGCAGATGAACGGTCTAAAAACTGATGCGCTGGTCGATAAATTATTTCTAAACAGGTCACTTCAACAGTAATTCTGAACACGCACTGGATGTAAACAAGCGTGATTTCTAGAGTAAAGAGGCGGGAGGAGATGTTTCTACTGAAGGAGCGGTGGAGGAGGAAGGTGGTGTCACTCATGTACAACATTTGAAAAAGGACCGTCACTGTATGTCACTTCCCTTAAAAAAATCCTCTATACAACCTTTAATGCGCCTTATAGTCTGAAAAATATGGTAATACTAATTGTTAAGAGACACGATCAGTCAGTCAACAATAAAATATCCTCATTAATGTTCAATAATGGTCACAGTTTTTTTTTTTATGATTCACGAATAATGTCTATTGACTTGAGTCCCCAGAAAAAAAGTTTGGGAAACACTACTCTGCTGGGAGCAACCTCGGGGAAAGACACGTTCATATTTTGATTTACGGGCAAAACAGTGAAATAAAAACCCCAGGATCATGTCGAGCGGGTTAATACGAACATTTTAACTCTTTCCCCCATGAAGACGACATTTGACGAGCCCCTTTGGATCCTTAACGACGTGTTTCGACACTTCCGCTGTTTCACTAAAGACGTGATTTGACGATCATTAGAAACGGCTCGGTTTTTCACATGTAAACAGAGGCTGCGATAGGTGGGGGCCACTACAACCCATTCTAGACTGACCAATAGGATTCAAGGATAAGTTTTCACCGATTTTTTCCAAAGTTAATCAAAGTAGTGACGATTGTAGCTTCGATTGTTTTCGATTTATTTCGCACCTGACCAGATAAACTCTCATTTTCAGTGAGCTGTTATAAACCCGTAAATGAGTTGAATCACATTTAAACTAGTGCTGTCATGCGATTAAAAAAATTGAGAGATTAATTAATTATGATCTGTAATTAATTAATCTAATTAATCTCATTTTAATCTCATCTAAAAATTGCTGAGAAAAGCCTTCAATTTGAGGTATTTTCATTTAAATTCATTATTACATTATTGTGGCAGATCAAAAGACTGATATAGATTTAAAAAAGTGACTTTATAAAGTCATTTATTGTTTAACAAATCTCTCCAATTTGGCTGTTGAGCCCAAGTCTCCATGAATAAGAAACTGTTTGCTGTAAAGTAGCAAAGACGAGGAAATCTGAACATAATAACTTTTGTCGACTTAAAGACAATAAAAAGTCCAGTCTTTCCTTAACCATATTAAAAATATTATTGATAGAGAAATGCTTTATATATGAGATCACTGGTTTAGTCCTGGTTTTAGTCCTGTTTAGACCTGTTTTAGTCCTGGTTTAAACCTGCTTTAGTCCTACTTTAGTCCTAGTTTAGTCCTGGAATGGATTAATCCTGGTTTTAGTCCTGGTTTAGACCTGGTTTAGACCTGGTTTTAGTTCTGATTTTAGTTCTGGTTTAGGCCTGGTTTAGTCCTGGTTTAGACCTGGTTTAGTCCTGGACTGGGTTAGTCCTGGTTTTAGTCTTGGTGTTAGTTCTGGATTAGAGGCGCACAGGAGGAAGCGCGGTTTACGCGAGAAAACACGACCCACACGCGGCTCACGGGAGCAGGTCGGTGTCCGCGCAGTAACTACGGAAGGAAACGTGGTCCACGCGTGTTCTCAGGTTAATGACGATGATGAAGGTGTGTTTGTGTTTGTGTGTGTTTGTGTGTGTTTGTGTGTGTTTGTGTGTGTTTGTGTGTGTTTGTGTGCATGTCCCCTTGTGTCGCAGGTCACTATAGGACAGTAGTGCAGACATCATGAGCCTATGCAGGTTGTTTTCACCAGTGACATTTAAGTTGTAGGCAATATTATATTTGTTATTTTCTTTTATATAATTTCCAAGACACGAATGCGTTTTTACCTGTGCGATGCTGCTTCTGTTCTACTGACTCTTCGACCTGACGACGTTTAACTCGCTCTTACTGCGCGCGTTTTGTGTGGGTTTCCGGCAATGAGTGGAATTACCGAAATAAAAAAATGTATAAATGTGTTTTTTGTGTGTGTGTTGTTGTCCCAATAACACATAAAAACAGGTTTTATAATAAAGCAACTCGCATACAGAAGTTAGAGATTAAAAATGAGATTAACGCGATTAAAAAACATAACGCGCTAAATATGACTGTAATTAATTAATCGCAATTAACGCGATAATTTGACACCCCTAATTTAAACATCCATAAATGAAGAGTTCAGAGTCTAAGGTTTCCAGAGATACAAATATGTCTGTGTTTCAATTAAGTTCATGAGTGTGAAAATCCTTTATAATCACTCGGGGAAGTTTGTTTTCTTTTATGCAGTTGTGCTCTATGTTTAGCCCTAGTCATATATGTTTGGGCTGTTCCTAGTCGGCGTCCACGGGGGAAAGAGGTAAGACCAAAATGACGAGGCTCATGGCAGCAGGTATTTTCAATAGAAAATGAATTGAAGCCAGAGTTGATGGAGCCGGTTTTTAAGCTATGTCCACTTATATATACAGTCTGCGGGTTCAAGCTTGCAGATGTTTTCCGATTTCAGCCTTCTGGATTCAAAAGGGACATAACCGGGAATGTTTAGTATCAAATCAAATAATAAAAAAGTAGTTCTTGAATGTTCCGCAGTATGGCATTAAACGTATCTACCCAACTTCTTAAACTGCAGGTGTTTTTTATTGCTGGAAGTACACACTCTTATTGCAAGCAGCATCGCCTCTCCACAGATCTGACCTTGCAATTCCACACATTTGTCTCCACGGAGATAGATTAAAATTGGTTTAATGCGAAACTGTGGAACAATTTTGGTTAAAAAAAATTAACACTTTCGACGAGAAAAATGGAAGGTGTACGAAAAAAGTTGTGTACTTTTGGGACAGGAAGGGCATCTGGTGTAAAAAATTAAAGGATTCTTGTTTCGTCTTGCTGGCAGTGACGTTCAGTTGACGTTTAAGTAAAAATCTAACTATAAATAAAATAAAAAAAATAGCCTGAGAATTGATACTTTGCAGCCGATGTCGGAAACATTTTCTGGGGGTGTGACGCTAACTGGAGGCACTGCTCTGTCTGAGGTTTTGTTACACTTTTATCTGAGCTTTCAAGACTGATCACAAACTCTGGAAAATGTGCTGCTTAAATCCATTTTGTGTTTGTTTTGCCACGTTTACATGATGTTTTTTTTTTTTATTCCGAATTGCGGTTTACATGGAAAACTCGTTAAATCGTTTTTATTTCATTCCGTTCGGCGTCTGGAGGTGGGGAAGGTTCTGATTGGACAGAGACACGAACGTATTTACGTCGACCGGAAGAAAACACACACTTTAGCTGCTACCGGCTTTTCTGTCATCTCGGTTTGTCGTTACGTCACGGACACAAACACGATCCAAACTTTTTTCGCGCAGCAGCTGGAGATTTCTCTCATCACGCTGTACGTCTGTCAGCTGAGGAGGAGAAGGGAGGAAGAAGACAAACTGACGCTTGAGGGTGAAAACGACAAAATATTTTATCGGAAATGCGTTTCGTTTAGACGGTGACGGCGTTTTTGGGGCTTAAAAATGCAAAAATCTGAAACCACCCTCCAGAGTGGAAAAGTTGAATACGCTCCGCTGTAGTGTTTCCGTCTACACTGCCCAAGACGCAAAACTCTGGTCAGATCTGCTCAGGTCGTCTACGTGTTTTCGTCACATACATCACCATTAGTTAAAATTTAGTTGATGCGGCGAATATTCAGATGCGCGCAATAGTCCGGAAAATACGGTAATTTATTCAGAATTAAAGCTCTCATTTAAATGTGGCATTTGTTGAATTTTAGAACTTTTTTGACAGTGTTTGTTACGGAAGCCGAGAGGGGTCACAACAAATGCAAACACGGCAACAAATACAAATGCCACAACACAACAAAAAGCCACAACAAACCAAAAAAAAGTCACAATAGAAATAGGAAATGACCACGGGACTCTATTTTAATGCAAACGCCGCAACAAATACAAACACCACAACACAAACGCAAATGCAGCAACACATCAAAAAGCCACAACACATTAAAAAGTCACAACAGAAGTGACCGCGCGACCCTATTTTCCGACGGACCGATCAAGAAGCAAGTGAAGAAGAACTACAATGTGAAAAGTAAAGGAACGGAGAAGTTGGAAACGTAAGTAAAAGTAATTTATTGTTTTATCATTATTCGTTTCATGTTATAGTTCTTCTTCTTCACTTGCCGCTTGATCGGTCCGTCGGAAAATAGAGTCCCACGGTCACTTCTGTTGTGGCTTTTTGATGTGTTGTGGCTTTTTAATGTGTTGTGGCGTTTGTATTTGTTGCGGTGTTTGCATTAAAATAGAGTCCCGCGGTCATTTCCGTTGTGGCTTTTTTTGGTGTGTTGTGGCTTTTTAATGTGTTGTGGCTTTTTAAATGTGTTGTGGCTTTTTAATGTGTTGTGGCGTTTGTATGTGTTGCGGTGTTTGCGTTAAAATAGATTCCCGCGGCCACTTCCGTTATGACTTTTTTCAGTGTGTTGTGGCTTTTTGTTGTGTTGTGGCTTTTTAGTAAGTAAGTAAGTCTTCATTTATATAGCGCTTTCACAGACATTTTCTGTCCCGAAAGACGCTTTACAGAGCATTATTTTTAATGTGTTGCGGCGTTTGTATTTGTTGCGGGGTTTGCATTAAAATAGAGTCCCGCGGTCATTTCCGTTGTGGCTTTTTTTGGTTTGGTGTGGCTTTTAATGTGTTGTGGCGTTTGTATTTGTTGCGGCGTTTGCGTTTGTCGTGACCCCTCTCGGCTTCCGTAGCAGTTTGTTAACGCGTACGTCGTGTCTCTATGATAACCGCTGAACATTCCACCATAGACACACACGTGGAGCACCCCCAGAACGATTTCACTGCAAAGTACCAACACGTCGCGCCTCACGAGTCCATCGCTCGGTACATTCGTCCCGCTTCACGAGCCGTCCCACGCGTCCGGACCGTCCCGGAGGAGGAGGAGGGGGACGGGGGCCAGGCTCTCGGACTGACTCACCCCGGGACACAGCGCCTCGGACTGGGCCACGGGGGCGGAGAGGGTCCTGGTGAGTCTGGAGCAGCGGTCCGGAGGGGTGAGGCCGGCCTGGGGGGACTGGTAGGGCGGGGGTCCGGTGAGGGGGGAGTCCTCGGGGGAGGCGAGGGCGGTGCGGTGGATGAGGATGGGGTCCGGGGAGGGCAGCGGGTCCATCGCGGGCGGGTCTTTAGAGGGGCTCTGGTCCGGGGACAGGGGCAGGGGGGGGCAGGCCACGGCGGGTCTGTGACTGAGGAGCAGGGCGGGAGGATCCTGGCCCAGAGGACAGAGAGGCAACTCCTCTGCTTTTCCTGAAACACACGAACACACGGGTTTTAATGACGACAATAATAGAGCACTGGATTTATTTTGAGCATTTAAAGACCCCGAAGAGCTTTACAGTTTTGTCAAAAATATCAAAGATCAGATACTTCAACTAGGATCAAAACTAGATCCTCATTTGAGCATGTATCGATAATGAAAAAGTCTCCTTCACAGGCCAGAAATGAACCTTTTCTGAACAGCTTTAGAATGATCTTGAGCTGTATTAGAATTGATTTTAAGATTTTATTGTTTGTTTTTAAAGCCTTCAATGGACTGGCCCCACATTACATTTCACACCACGTCCAGATTTACACTCCCGCACTAGAGCAGAGAAACCCGACCGAAGTCCAAAAGGACAAATATTCAAACAAATATTTAGAACTTCTGTCAGCGCATTTCTACTGTAAAACCGTCGGTCTGAGACGCTTAAGTGTTCAAAAGATCAGACTCTGCACTTCTAGTTTAGATCCAAGTCAAAACTGTGTTATTATTATTTGTGAAACGTGCTGCAAAACTTCAGATACAGGATTTTTAAAGCATAAAAGATTGGAGATAAAGTCCACAGGAAGTAAAGTCACTGTCGCTAATCTGCAGCTTCACCTCGATCCGTGCGCTGTGTGGATGTAAACAAACACACGTGAGGAACTACTCCTGCCTTTTTACTTTTAAAGAACGACTCAAACTGGATTAACAGTGCTGTTTTGTGGACTGGGGTCATTATTTGTGGAGGATATTTTCTATGGATAATGTTGATGAGATGCTGCAGTTTAAATTTACCACTTTACGAGCGGTGAGAAATAAATTATATTATTACTATTTTCGCTTTGTCCCAAGTTTGCATTTTGTGTCTCGGTATCCATTAGAGGAACACAAACAATATCCAAATTTGGGCTGCCGATTAGCGATAGTGACTATTTCCTGTGGACTTTATCTCAAATCTTTTATTCTTTAAAAATCCTGTATCTGAAGTTTTGCTCCACATTTCACAAATAATAATAACACAGTTTTGACTTGGATCTAAACTAGAAGTGCAGAGCTCTGATCTTTGAACACTTAAGAGTCTCAGAGCGACTAGTTTTACTCTAGAAACAGGAAACAGCTGAGGCACTGATGTGTCCGAGTCCGACCCGAGCCCGAACATAAATTCTAAATATTTGGCTGAATCTGTCGGAACCCGTCGGACTTCAATGCTCTTCTCCTTTCTTCTGTGGTTTTCTTTGGGACACTTTTTAATATGACAGCTAAAAAACAGAGGATTGTGGAGAGGAGTCACGAAGAAGGAAGCAAGGAAAGAGAAATGAGATGTTCTTAGCACCGATTATGAACGTCCAGTATGAATGTGCGGTGTGTGTGTGGCGACTGAAGGGGGCAATGGCAAAGATCGGCAGCCTCTCTCCTGTCAGTCTGTCTCAGGGCGTCTTATTTTATTCCTGGTTTTAAATGTAATGAAGTCAGATGTTTGTTTCCACCTGGAGGAGGCAGGTCCAGCTTCTTCTTCCTCAGCTCGGTCATGGCTCCCTGCAGCTGCTCGACGATAATATCATCACTGAGGGACAGGGACACGGAGATCCGCTCCTGCAGGAAGTCTCTGAGCTCCTCCAGAGACATACGCATCAGACGCTCTGAAAACACAGCACACGTCAGGAGTCAAACCCGCAACCTCCCCCCTCCGCAGAGGAAGAGACGGGCTAACCACTCTGCCGCGGTGCGGGAGGAGGGCGTGTGGACTCACTGCGGTGCACTTTGAGGATGGTGTAGGACATGGCGGTGAGGAGCCTCTCTCCCTCCAGGATGAAGATGTCCCACAGACGCAGGGTCAGGCTGAACGGGGTCTGGGGGGCAAAGGGCAAAGGTCAAACAGAGATCATGACCAGAGTTCACAGGAATCATGTTTGTCAAGTTGTGAAGTAAAAGTGGATTTTCAGTGGTGCTTTTCCAAACTGATCTTTTAAAGCAAACTGATTTTACACCACCTGCTTGAGCCCGTAATGTTCCAGCTTATGATATTAATTTACATACTGTATCTCCCAGGGATGCAACGATATTCTATATAATATCGAATTGTTTGATACTGGTCTCATGATTCGATACACGTGTCTCTTCATGCGCTCTGTGTTGTCATTTATTTAGGTCTGAAAAGAAGACATTTATTGCAGCGTCCTCCTCAAAAGCAACAAGAAAACAGCTCCACAGGGACTTAAATATATGAAATATTCTAACAGAGGTGGGTTTTATCTTTCAGTCACTTTTTATTTTACGTTGATGCACTCAGGAATGACAAAGATATCAACTTTTAAAGATTTTAGAATCACTTTTGTCTTTACCTCAGCTTTAATTAAATGTGCTTGTATACACACCAGTGACGTGACTCGAGATATACGCGCTCTAATTCTCAGACTCTATCTCAAAAGTTTTAGTCAGAAAACGGTCTGTTGAGATTTTCTATGTATAGTTTTAGTGTCCAGAAAGTAGATGGGAGAGCACAGTGTGTCACAGACTGTAGGGGGCAGTGTGGGAGGAGCTGCTGTCTGTCTCTGCTGGAGAAGACAGAGCAGCACCGACACACGAGCCTGTGTGAACGCAGCGAGACTCAGCAGGAAAAGAAATCATCAAATCATCATCAAAAGGCAAAGCTCTCGATTTACCGGTCAGTCTTCGTTCCCACCCTCACCTCTGGTCATGAGCTCTGGATAATGACCGAAAGGACCAGATCGCGGATACAAGCGGCCGAAATGAGTTTCCTCCGCAGGGTGGCTGGGCGCTCCCTTAGAGATAGGGTGAGGAGCTCAGTCACACGGGAGGAGCTCGGAGTAGAGCCGCTGCTCCTTCACGTTGAGAGGAGCCAGTTGAGGCTCGGGCATCTGTTCCGGATGCCTCCTGGGCGTCTCCCTCGGGAGGTGTTCCGGGCATGTCCCACTGGGAGGAGGCCCCAGGGAAGACCCAGGTGTCAGAATAATTTTATTATCCCATATTTGCTAAATACTTGTGTGATATTCTAGGCCTATGAGTTAACCATTTATGTACTACAATTCTTTGATTTATAATGTACCAATCACTTGTCACTTGTTGAATAACCTCTGTGTGTTTGACAACTGTGTGCAGTGTCCTATCGCTCTAGTGAACCTCGAGATGATTCCTCACATGAAGCCAACTCCCACTGTCACACATGCAAGAGTTATGATGGTGTCTGACCTAAGGCACCTCCTGATTGTTAATCATGTTTTATGTGTTTATACTATGCATAGCTGCACCAGTTTCTTATTATGTCTTTGCTGGTTTCCCCTTCCCCTTGAGAATTATCATTCTGTAACTAGTTCCTCCTAATGAAATAAAAAGAGGAGAGCGGCCTTGAGTCATCAGAACGTGTGGAGACTGTTGGTTTTGATGCCCACTCTCTGCCCGTTCTCCTCATGAGTAAAACTGAATTAATCTCTTGTCTTTCTTCTTGTTTTTAATGTTTAGATAAACCTAACACCAGGACACGCTGGAGGGACTATGTTTCTCGGCTGGCCTGGGAACACCTCGGGGTCCCCCCAGAAGAGCTGGAGGAAGTGTGCGTGGAAAGGGAAGTCTGGGAGTCCCTGCTTAGACTGCTGCCTCCGCGACCCGGCCCCGGATAAGCGGAATAAAATGGAATGGAATGGAATCATCAAAAGTCTGATAGTGTAACGCCCCTACAGTCTATATTAAGAGTCGACTGGCAATATTATAAAATATAAACCAGCCTGAGAAAAGCTCTGTTCTTATTTTCACTTAATAAAAATTCTGTAAATCACCAAATGAACCAAATGATCTAAAACCCTTCAGATATGAACTGTAACTGTGCAGTAGTTGTGCTGTAGTGTGTTTTGTTTAATGTTTGTAATGTTTCATAAATATCATAGTGTTTTTATATTTTACTCATGAGCAGAAAAAAATAACATGAGATTTTTTTTTTTGAGTCTTTAAACGTATCGAAATAGAATTGATATCGTGACCTGCGTAGTGAGATATGTATCAAATCGAGGGAAATCCATATCGTTGCATCCCTAGTATCTCCATGGAGACAAGCAGGTGACGCAACCAGGTCAAGTTACGGGTCAGATCTGTAGAGAGGCGACCCCACTCAGAGTGACAATTAATGTTTTACAAACTGTTTTTGAGCAATTAAATATCTGTAATAGAATAAATGGATGAATAGATGGACAGATAGATGGATGGATGGATGGATAGACAGACAGATAGATAGATAGATAGATGGATAGACAGACAGATAGATAGATAGATAGATAGATAGATAGATGGACGGGTGGATGGATGGATGGACAGATAGACGGATAGACAGACAGACAGATAGATAGATAGACGGATAGATAGACAGATAGATAGATAGATAGATAGATAGATAGATAGATAGATAGATAGATAGATAGATAGATAGATAGATAGATAGATAGATAGATGGACGGACAGATAGATGGACAGATAGATAGATAGATAGATAGACGGGGATGGATAGGATGGACAGATAGACGGATAGACAGACAGACAGACAGATAGATAGATAGATAGATAGATAGATGGACGGACAGACGGACAGACAGACAGACAGACATGTGTATTTCAAAAGTCAAGAATTGAAATTAGTGAAGGAGTTCAAATATCTGGGAGTCATGTTGGACTCTGCACTTACATTCAAAAACCATGTTAAAATGGTGTCTAGAATAATCAAATACAATCTATGCAATTTTAATCAAATACGCAGGTCATTAACTAATGAAGCTGCAATGATGTTTTTACATTGTATGATTTTTTCTCACATTAGTTATTGTATAACCAGTTGGTCTTTGTCAGGTGTAACAACTCTTAAGTCAATAGAATCCCTCTACAAAAAAGCTTTGAAAATATTAGACAAGAAACCCTTTACTTACCATAGTTGCAATGTGCTCTCCAAATACAATCTATTGAGCTTTCAGAATTTTATAAAATTTAGAAATGCCTGTTTGATGTATAAGATTTTGCACGGTTTAGCTCCACCCCCACTCAGTGATTATATCAGGTATAGGTCAAGTGTTACATGTCGCTCCTCCAGGGCCAGAGCCAGAGGTGACTGTGAGGTGCCTGATAGAAAAACCTCTTTCAGTCAAAATGTGTTTTCATATAAGGGCAGTGTTGTGTGGAACAGTTTACCACCCACAGTTAGAGACTCCCCCAGCTTTACGACTTTTAAAGGCCATTTAAAGACACGGCTCAGGTCGACACAGGTGTGTGATCATTTACGATAGTTTACAATGTGCAATGGGCAAAGTGCAATATGCTATTTATTAAGTATTTTAATATTTTAATTACGGGCAATATGTAATATACTAAAGAATTTTACCTTCGAGGGCACGTGCAATACATTGTAGAAAAGCACTTTATAGTAATTTTAGCAATGGGCTGTGTGCAATATCTATACACTGGCATCTTAACTAAACAAGGCAGCGTGCAATTTTGATCAAATAATCCAACATCCTTTGCTTGACCTGTGTCTGTGCTCTTGTGACTGACCAGCTCTTTGTGTCTGTCTATTTGTATTATTGTATTGTCTGTCGGGATGTATTGTTTTTACTGTGCATTTGTTTTATGATTACATCAACCTGCCTCGGGACAGCAGATGGAAATTAGCCTTGGGCTGTAATCTGATAACATATTTACATATCATGTATATGTTCATTAATGTGTTTTGTCCCTATTTTTTTTTAAATAAATAAAATAAATAAATAAATAGATAGATAGATAGACGGATGGATAGATAGATTGATAGATGAATGGATGATAGAAGGATGGATGGATGTGTAATTTTGTACTGTAAAAATTCCAGGGAAAGCAAAAGCATCTCCATGGAGACAAGCAGGTAGTAAAGCTCCCATCAGAAAAGTCCCATAGTGCACTTTTAGTTTAGTTTTGAGTCTCGATTATTAAGCTCGTGAACTTCTCACCCTCTCGATGAAACACTGCATGAACCACTTGGTGCTGTAGATGCCGGTGGACATCTGCTCTCGGTCCTAACCGCACACACACAGAGCGTCAGTGAGAGTTAAGTTTAAAGGTTTATAACTCAGAGAATAAATTAAAAAAAGAGGAGTTTACCATGTGCCGCTTGAGTTTGGGCAGAAGTTTGGACAGAATCTGATCGTGGTGACTCTGGAAACGCTGCAGTTTGGGAAATCCAGGGACAAAGAAACCTGCAAATACAGAAAAAAGATTATTCAGGAGAGCAAAGGAGGTTTAAATCTCATATATTTTATTATTTAGATCCATCTGAAAAGCAAACATTGTGCAGTATATCTTCTTTTACAATGTTATTTGATGCAATCTGTATTTTCAAACAGGAAGGACATATGTATTTGACTCATAAACCCTCATCTAACGTGTTCCTATTTCTCACAGATCCTTTGGTGCATTATTAATAAGCAAATACGTGGGTTTAGAACAGCTTTTTTTCAGACGGACAAAAGTGAAACTGGATGCCAATTAAAGAGCAGCGAATCCTAGTGAAGCTTTCAGTTCCTGCCCCGAGGTTTGCGATCGATAAAAAACCGTTGTAATTAGACGCAGAGAGAGCACAGCGGCAGATACTGTGCAAATAAGTGCTGCTTTTGATAATTTACTCTATGGAGGAAAATAAAACATTTATTCAGTTACAAGAATAAAGTCGGGTACCACAACTTCAAATGCACAAACATGTATAATGTATAAAGTATTAAACAGACGCAGTGAAAGACTCTGCCACCTAAACCAGCACAATATCAGAAGAAAACAACTTCTAAAGGACAAAAAGTAAACTACAATGTACACATTTTAGCGTAACATGCAAAGGCCTGGAGATTTGTAATGGAATAGACAAATATAAAACAATCTGTAGCCTTAGAAATATTTAAAAAACTCATGACTCATAACCCCAGTGGCTGAATAACTGTATAATCAGTGGTGTAGTGGACGTGGTATGTGGGGGTCCACCGTCCACACTCTTCTCCTGACGTGAGATATAAAAAAAATAACAAATATAAAATAGCTACAATTGAAATGTCAAACTGGAGCAGCGACTGGCAATGGTAAAAACAAACTGCAAATGAAATCTGCACGACTGTTCTACTGAGACCTGCAACATGAGGGACGAGGACTGAACCAGAACTGAACCAAGACTGAACCAGGACTGAACCAGGACTGAACCAGGACTGAAACAGGACTGAACCAGGACTGAAACAGGACTGAACCAGGACTGAAACAGGACTGAACCAGAACTGAACCAAGACTGAACCAGAACTGAACGAGGACTGAACCAGGACTGAAACAGGACTGAAACAGGACTGAACCAGAACTGAACCAGGACTAAAACAGGACTGAACCAGGACTGAAACAGGACTGAACCAGGACTGAACCAGGACTGAACCAGGACTGAAACAGGACTGAACCAGGACTGAAACAGGACTGAACCAGGACTGAACCAGGACTGAAACAGGACTGAAACAGGACTGAAACAGGACTGAAACAGGACTGAAACAGGACTAAACTAGGACTGAACTAGGACTGAACCAGGACTGAACCAGGATTGAAACAGGACTAAAACAGGACTAGACTAGGACTAAACCAGGTCTAAAACAGGTCTAAACTAGGACTGAACCAGAACTGAATCAGGACTAAACCAGGACTAAACCAGGTCTAAACTAGAACTAAACCAGGACTAAAACAGGCCTAAACTAGGACTAAACCAGGACTGAACTAGGACTAAACCAGGAATGAATTAGGACTAAACCAGGACTAAACTAGAACTAAACCAGGACTAAAACAGGCCTAAACTAGGACTAAACCAGGACTGAACTAGGACTAAACCAGGACTAAACCAGAACTAAACCAGGACTAAAACAGGCCTAAACTAGGACTAAACCAGGACTGAACTAGGACTAAACCAGGACTGAATTAGGACTGAACCAGGACTGAACCAGGACTGAGCCCGGAGGTGCGCCCACGTAAACCATTAGGTGACCACGGGTGAAAGGACAGGTGCAGAGCTCCGCCCCACAGGGCTATGCTCAGCCGTCGCCCGATCGCACTTTGCAGACACACTGCTCCATGGGCTCGGGGTTCTCTCTCTCAAGTCTAAGATTAGTCCTGGATTAGTCCTGGTTCAGTCCTGATTCAGTCCTGGTTCAGTCCTGGTTTAGTCCTGGTTTAGTCCTGTTTAGACCTGGTTTAGTCCTGGTTCAGTCCTGGTTTAGTCCTGGTTTAGTCCTGGTTAGTCCTGGTTTAGTCCTGGTTTAGTCCTGGTTTTAGTCCTGGTTCAGTCCTGGTTTAGTCCTGATTCAGTCCTGGTTCAGTCCTGGTTTAGTCCTGTTAGTTTGGTTTAGACCTGGTTTAGTCCTGGTTCAGTCCTGGTTTAGTCCTGATTCAGTCCTGGTTCAGTCCTGGTTCAGTCCTGGTTTAGTCCTGGTTTAGTCCTGGTTTAGTCCTGGTTTAGTCCTGGTTCAGTCCTGGTTTAGTCCTGATTCAGTCCTGATTCAGTCCTGGTTCAGTCCTGGTTTAGTCCTGGTTTAGTCCTGGTTCAGTCCTGATTCAGTCCTGGTTTAGTCCTGATTCAGTCCTGGTTCAGTCCTGGTTCAGTCCTGGTTAGTCCTGGTTTAGTCCGGCGCCTTTATGTTTGTACTTAAAAACTGTCCACTACTTCCATTACATTATAAATTTGCATCCTAAGCTACGAGTGTTTTGAATAATTCCGTTCAAACTGCTGGAGTGTTGTTGTGCGGCGGCGCACTGACCGTGCATGGCGTGTCTGCGGTCGGTGAGGAGCTGCGTCAGCGCCCAGAACGCGTCCTCTTCATTCATGAACATCAACAACAGAGCAGCGACCTGACTCATCCCCTGACAGTAACTCACCTCCTGCACAGAACACAGACACACGAGTGGTCAGGAGACGAGGAGGAAGGAGGAGGAGGAGGAGGAGGAGGAGGAGGAGGAGGAGGAGGAGGAGAGAGGAGAGGAGGAGGAGGAGGAGGAGGAGGAGGAAGAGGAGGAGGAGGAGGAGGAGGAGGAGAGGAGGAGAGAGGAGGAGGAGGAGGAGGAGGAGGAGGAGGAGGAGAGAGGAGGAGGAGGAGGAGGAGGAGGAGGAGGAGGAGGAGGAGGAGGAGAAGGAGGAGGAGGAGGAGGAAGAGGAGGAGGAGGAGAGGAGGAGGAGGAGGAGGAGGAGGAAGAGGAGGAGAGAGGAGGAGGAGGAGGAGGAGGAGGAGGAGGAGGAGGAGGAGAGGAGGAGGAGGAGGAGGAGGAGGAGGAGGAGGAGGAAGAGGAGGAGAGGAGGAGGAGGAGGAGGAGAGGAGGAGGAGGAGGAGGAGGAGGAGGAGGAGAGAGGAGGAGGAGGAGGAGGAGGAGGAGAGGAGGAGGAGGAGGAGGAGAGAGGAGGAGGAGAGGAGGAGGAGGAGGAGGAGGGAGGAGGAGGAGGAGGAGGAGGAGGAGAGGAGGAGGAGGAGGAGGAGAGGAGGAGGAGGAGGAGGAGGAGGAGGAGGAGGAGGAGGAGGAGGAGGAGGAGGAGGAGGAGGAGGAGGAGGAGGAAGAGGAGGAGGAGAGGAGGAGGAGGAGGGAGGAGGAGGAGGAGGAGGAGGAGGAGGAGGAGGAGGAGGAGGAGAGGAGGAGGAGGAGGAGGAGGAGGAGGAGGAGGAGGAGGAGGAGGAGGAGGAGGAGGAGGAGGAGGAGGAGGAGGAGGAGGAGGAGGAGGAAGGAGGAGGAGAGGAGGAGGAGGAGAGGAGGAGGAGGAGGGAGGAGGAGGGAGGAGGAGGAGGAGGAGGAGGAGGAGAGGAGAGGAGGAGGAGGAGGAGGAGGAGGAGGAGGAGGAGGAGGAGGAGGAGGAGGAGGAGGAGGAGGAGGAGGAGGAGGAGGAGGAGGAGGAGGAGGAGGAGGAGGAGAGAGGAGGAGGAGGAGGGAGGAGGAGGAGGAGGAGGAGGAGGAGGAGAGAGGAGGAGGAGGAGAGAGGAGGAGGAGGAGGAGAGGAGGAGGAGGAGGAGGAAGAGGAGGAGAGGAGGAGGAAGAGAGGAGGAGGAGGAGGAGAGGAGGAGAGGAGGAGGAGGAGAGGAGGAGGAGGAGGAGGAGGAGGAGGGAGGAGGAGAGAGGGAGGAGGAGGAGGAGGAGGAGGAGGAGGAGGAGAGAGGAAGAGGAGGAGGAGAGGAGGAGGAGGAGGAGGAGGAGGAGGAGGAGGAGGAGGAGAGGAGGAGGAGGAGGAGGAGGAGGAGGAGGAGGAGGAGGAGGAGGAGAGAGGAAGGAGAGAGGAGGAGGAGGAGAGGAGGAGGAGGAGAGGAGGAGGAAGGAGGAGGAGGAGGAGGAGGAGAGAGGAGGAGGAGGAGGGAGGAGAGGAGAGGAGAGAGAGGAGGAGGAGGAGGAGGAGGAGGAGGAAGGAGGAGGAGGAGAGAGGAGGAGGAGGAGGAGAGGAGGAGAGGAGGAGGAGGAAGAGGAGGAGGAGGAGAGGAGAAGAGAGGAGGAAGAGGAGGAGGAGAGAGAGGAGAGGAGGAGAGGAGGAGGAGAGAGGAGGAAGAGGAGGAGGAGGAGGAGGAGAGGAGGAAGAGGAGAGAGGAGGAGGAGGAGGAGGAGGAGAGAGGAAGAGGAGGAGGAGGAGGAGGAGGAGGAGGAGGAGGAGGAGGAGGAGGAGGAGGAGGAGGAGGAGAGGAGGAGGAGGAGGAGGAGGAGGAGGAGGAGGAGGAGGAGGAAGAGGAGGAGGAGAGGAGGAGGAGAGAGGAGGAGGAGGAGGAGAGAGGAGAGAGGGAGGAGGAGGAGGAGAGAGGAGGAGGAGGAGGAGAGGAGGAGGAGAGAGGAGGAGGAGGAGGAGGAGGAGAGGAGGAGAGAGGAGGAGGAGGAGAGGAGGAGGAGGAGGAGGAGGAGAGGAGGAGGAGGAGGAGGAGGAGAGGAGAGAGAGGAGGAGGAGGAGGGAGAGGAGAGAGGAGGAGGAGGAGGAGGAGGAGGAGGAGGAGAGGAGGAGGAGGAGGAGGAGGAGGAGGAGGAGGAAGAGGAGGAGGAGGAGGAGGAGGAGGAGGAGGAAGAGGAGGAGGAGGAGGAGGAGGAGGAGGAGAGGAGGAGGAGAGGAGGAGAGGAGAGAGGAGGAGGAGGAGGAGGAGGAGGAGGAGGAGAGGAGGAGAGAGGAGGAGAAGAGGAAGAGGAGGAGAGGTCAGAGCAGAAGAGGAGGAAGAGGAGGGAAAGGAGATGGTTAGATGGAGCAGAAAATCAGAGGAGAGGGTCAGAGGAGGAAGAGGAGAGGAGTCAGAGGAGGAAGAGGATCAGAGGAGGAAGAGGAGAGGGTCAGAGGAGGAAGAGGATCAGAGGAGGAAGAGGGGAGGGTCAGAGGAGGAAAGAGGAGGAGAGTCAGGAGGAGGAGAGGAGTCAGAGGAGGAAGAGGAGGAGGGTCAGAGGAGAAGAGGATCAGAGGAGGAGAGGATCAGAGGAGGAGAGAGGAGAGGGTCAGAGGAGGAAGAGGATCAGAGGAGGAAGAGGAGAGGGTCAGAGGAGGAAGAGGGGAGGGTCAGAGGAGGAAGAGGATCAGAGGAGGAGAGAGGGGAGGGTCAGAGGAGGAAGAGGATCAGAGGAGGAGGAGGAGAGGGTCAGAGGAGCAGATGAAGACGAGAGGGTCAGAGGGGGAAGAGGAGGAAGAGGAGGAAAAGAAGAAGGTCAGATGGAGCAGAAGACGCAGCGGTGAGGGTCAGAGGAGGAGAGGAGGACGACGAGTCAAAGGGGCAGAGAAGGAGAGAACAGGGTCAGAGGAGCAGAGGAGAAAGACGAGAGGAGCAGAGGAGCAGGTCAGAGGAGGAGAAGATGTAGAGGAGAGGGTCAGATGGAGCAGATGAGAGGAGCAGAGGAGGAGGAGAATGCAAACGAGAGGGTCAGGGGAGCAGAGGAGCAAGAGGTGAAGGTCAGAAGAACAGAAAAGGGGGTCAGATGGATCAGAGAAGAGGCTCAGATGATGCAAGATGATGCAGAGGAGGAGCGGACGACGCAGAGGAGGAGGGTCAGATGTTTCTTACTGTGTTGTAGACGGAGTAAGCAGCGAGCACATAGAAGAGCGACTGCTGCCTGTAAGAGAAGAACAGTCTGAGAGGAGCAGGAGCTTCATATTTACGTGGTTTACGCTGAATTCTTCCGAGTTCCTGTGGCTCAGAGTTTCCACTGCTCTGGCTCACACCTCCTTTCACAAAACCAAACGGACCGAGTTTTTCTGTAACCCTTTACGTCTGCTCTCCGTGGAGATTCACAGAAGAAGTTTAGAAAAAGGTTTTGGGCTCAGAGAAACCGGAGCTACACGATGAAGAATCTCCGAAACACGAGCGTTACTCACTTGACTCCAAACCTCTCCATGAACATCACGTGCTTCCTGAAGGTGCGGTTTATGTCCAAGTCGATCTGTTTAATCTCAGAGGAGTACACCAGGGCCTGTTCCTTCATCCTCTGAGAAAAAAATAAAGAGAAAGACACGGAAAGAAAATTGGGGATTAAAAACAAGAGATAAAAAAGATCAACTTATTTATGTATTTATTTAATAGGGACAGTGCAGTGTAAATATGACAGATTATAACAAAAATACTCATTTCTATCTGTAGTCTCGGAAGCCCATTTCCCGCCAGTAAATAAAAAATAAAAGCCTCACAGGAAGTCATAATTATGAGTTTTAAAGTCTTTTAAACTCATAATTATAACTTTTAAACTCGTAATTATGACTTTTAAACTCGTAATTATGACTTTTAAACTCGTAATTATGACTTTTAAACATGTAATTATGACTTTTAAACTCGTAATTATGACTTTTAAACTCGTAATTATGACTTTTAAACTCGTAATTATGACTTTTAAACTCGTAATTACAACTTTTAAACACGTAATTACAACTTTTAAAACTCGTAATTTATGACTTTTAAAACTCGTAATTATGACTTTTAAACTCGTAATTACTTTTATACTTTTAAACACGTAATTATGACTTTTAAACTCGTAATTATGACTTTTAAACTAAACTTTTAAACTCGTAATTATGACTTTTAAAACTTCGTAATTTATGACTTTTAAACTCGTTAATTATGACTTTTAAACTTGTAATTATGACTTTTTTAAACTCGTAATTATGACTTTTTTAAACTCGTAAATTATGACTTTTAAACTCGTAATTATGACTTTTAAACTCGTAATTATGACTTTTAAACTCGTAATTATGACTTTTAAACTTATAATTACAATTTTTAAACTCGTAATTATAACTTTTAAACTCGTAATTATGACTTTTAAACTCGTAATTATAACTTTTAAACTCGTAATTATGACTTTAAAACTCGTAATTATGACTTTAAAACTTGTAATTATGACTTTTAAACTCGTAATTATGATTTATAAACTCGTAATTAAGACTTTCTGTGACGCTTTTATTTTTTATTTACTGGCGGAAATGGGCTTCCATAGTCGTCCCTCGGCAGATGACACCACAAATTTAACAGAAAAAAAACAAAATAACAAGTGACAGTTCTGTTTTTTTTTTTCCTTTCGCCGCTGTTTCTAGTTGGATCTGAAAGTGTCCAGTGTTGGAGTCTCTCTTATTGATAATGGGAGAATGTTCCAGAAATTAGTGCCTCTGACTGAGACACACTTTGTCCAAATGTGGAGCATCTGTGCTTTAGTGGAATAAAATCTTGTAATGGAGTGAGCAAGTCCATACAAAACTTTATAGAAAAAAACATCCATATTTAAAATCAACAAAATTATTAAAATTAAGCAGGCTTGTACTTATATAAAAAAGTGCAGTGGTGAAAAGAAAATGGTTTCTTGTCCAGTATTTTTACAGCTTTTTGAAAAATTATTCGACGGGTTTGAGTTTTGTGCGAGCAGAAAGTGACCACGTGGTTATGTAATCCTCTATATGAGACAGAATCATGGTGTCGCGTATAGAGTCATAAAGGATCTTACTTATCTAAAATTGACAAAGTTTAAAGTTAACAGTTTTTGTGAGGCGCTTAATTTGTTTCTTAAATGTCAATGTCTGGTCCAAAGTCAGTCCCAGGTATTTAAACTCTTTGACGAGGCCAACGAGTTCCACCCCGTCCAGAAAGACACTGGACCTCTTTTGTTTTTGTTTTTTTTTACTAAACATCATGCAGATATTTTCTTTATTTTGAGCTGCAAGCACGAGTCCTCGACCCACTTCTGAACATGAGCTTTGGCTGATGTTGTTTTATTATTATGATGCGATTCTGCTCCCTGCTCCAGTGACGTCTGACCTGGTATTTTCCGGGGTTTTCTTTCCGGATCTTCTCCACCTCGAGCATCAGAGCCCAGGCCTGTCCTCGGAGCTGAGCGGGGATGCCTTTGTACACACGCTTCACCAGCTGGACGCGACAAAAAAACACAACAACACAACACAAAAAAACAAAAAACACATTCAAGATTTGCTCTATAAAAATGGGGGAAATTATATATTCAAGAAAACAATATTGTATAATTTGAACAGTTTTTGATAGTAGTAAGTAATAGTGAGTTTTGTCCATTTTTTTTTTTTTAATATGACGTATAAAACAGAGTCAGACCTTCTCACTGCGCTTGTATTTGTCCCACTTCTTCACCATCTTCAGCCATTTCTCTGCCCGGTCCAACTCCTGCTGCTTCAGCTTCAACACAACAAAGAACAAAAATTTACCGTATTTTTTGGACTATAAGTCGCACTTTTTTCATGGTTTGGTTGTTTCAGGTGTGACTTCTATATTAAAATGTTTCAGTGAAGTGTGGAGAGGTTCTAGTCTTGTGTGTTGAGGCTCCTGTTCCTCCTGTACCACTGTCACTTGGCTCTACTGCACATGTCTCCTGCAGAAAGAGCCTCTGTCCTGCAAGTCGTGAAATTTGCAGTTGAAAATGATAATCAAGCAGCAGAAATAAAGTTTGGAGTGAGCGAAAAACTTGTGAGGGACTGGTGGAAAAGCAGGGATGGAGAACACAGCTTTACAGGAACCGGGAGGATGCACCATGAAACTTTCCTGAAGTCACTGGATGGATGGACAAAGCCTGGACTTCAGTGACACCGAAACCATCCTGTCGGGATTCAGAAAGACCCGAATAATTCTAACTGGAACTGATGCTGAGTCTGACGACAGCGACACAGAAGAGGAAGCGTCGCTCTGTTTACCTCTGGAGGTCGAGGCCGAGTTGCTCAGAAGTGACACCGAGGATGAAGAATTGAATGGATTTAGTGATTTGGAGTGAGATGGAGAGTTTGTTAAACTTGTTCTGTTCTGTTGTTTATGTTATAGTTTATCTAAAGAACTGTTCATATGTGACGTTAACAGTCTGTTGTTCTCTCTTCTATTGTTTTATTAGAGCTTGACTTTCAACAGGAAATGTCTGTTTCTGGTCTCTGACTTATAGTCCGGTGCGACTTATATGTTTTTTCTTCTTCATTGCACATTTTTTGGCTGGTGGGATTTATACTCCGGAGTGACTTATAATCCGAAAAATACAATAAGTGTGTGATCTTTTAGCTGCAGTGTTTTCTGTGTCGTACCTTCTCCTCGTGTGCACTGGGGAGAGGAAGCTCCTTCTCACTAAAAAAGAATCACATTGATTGATAAACAAAATGTGTGTGTTGAGTTAAAAGTTTATAATGATCTGGTCCATTACAGACAGAATAAAAGCTCAGATACTGACTGCATGAAGCCAAGACGGTCGACCACTTTGTAAATGCTGAAGTCTCCGTCCTCCCAGGGGTGGACCTGCACCCCGCCCTGCCTGCCCTGAACAACACAGCACAACACAATATCAACAATAGTTCAACATTAAAACATACACAGTAGACTCATCATGATCTGTCTGTCACACACACACACACACGTATATAAAAATATATAACTGTACTGACTGTGGCATATTTGAGGAGGATGTCGGCTCGTTCCTCTGCGATCAGCGTCTCCACGTCCTTCTTCATGTCACTGTCTGTAACACAAAACACACAAAACAATAAAAAACACACAAAACACAAAAAAAACACACAGGGGACTTCAGTATGTTTCTGTGATCTGTCTGTATTATTTTGTAAACACACAAACACTGGAGCAGATTTGTTTTGCTTATTTATGTCTCTAGTCTCTGCTCATCTCCAACACTCACAACTTCAAGCACACAAGGTGAGTGAAGTGTCTTGCCCAAGAACACAACAACAATACATTTCTCAGCCATCGTGGTCTAGCTACGGAGCCAGCTGTGGATATTTGAGTTCCTATAGATTTTTTTTTACAACAAACGTGGCAGCAAATGTTACTAACTACTAATAATAAGTTCTTGAGAAAATATTCAGTCCATTCATGTTCTTCTGCTTATCCAGGGCCGGGGTGTAGGGGCATCAGTCTAAGCAGAGACTCCCAGACTTCCTTCACCCCAGACACGTCCTCCAGCTCCTCCCAGAGACATAGTCCCTCCAGCGTGTCCTGGGTCTTCCCCGGGGCCTCCTCCCGGTGGGACCTGAACACCTCCTGAGGCATTCGGAACAGAGGCCCGAGCCTCAACATTTCGACCGCCTCGATCTCGTCCTTTCGGTCATTACCCAGAGCTCATGACCAGAGGTGAAGGGAGGAACGAAGACTGACGGTAAATCTAGAGCTTTGCCTTTCAGCTCAGCTCCTTCTTCACCACTCGGCCCGATACAGCGACCGCATCACCGCAGACGCTGCACCGATCCACCTGTCAATCTCACACTCCATCCTCCCCTCACTCGAGAACAAGACCCCGAGATACTTGAACTCCTCCACTTGAGGCAGAGACTCTCCACCCGCCCGGAGAGGACCAGACACCTTTTTTCGGTCAAGAACTATGGCCTCAGATTTGGAAGTCCGGTCACAAACAAAAATAATACATTTTACGACGCATGATTTGGGGTCAGGGCCTCACAATTCCAGTATTGTTTTCTGATTTATGTTCTAAAGTAGTTTCCTCATCACAAAAACAGACCTGGAGTTTTGTTTTTTTTTGTTTCATTCACACATTTTTAACGCACAAACTTGCAGATTTAGGCTGTTTTGGGAGTTCTACTCAAAATATGTGCTCCACTGTGTTTTTAATAGAGCCCGACCGATATGGATTTTGTTGTGACCGATATGAAACCGATATAATGGGAGTTTGAGCTGCCGATAGCCGATATAATCGCCGATATATTTAGTGATGTAAAAATTCACTGTAAATCTTGAATTGATTAAAAAACTTAGGTTTGGCTCTAGTGGATTCTAAATTGGGTTTATTTAGGCAACATTTATTGTTATTTTGACTCTTTACATCATATTTACAGACAGTAGATTGGCCTAATGGCATTTTTGCATCACAGTCTAGCTACTGTTACTGTCACTGCTAGTGATGGGTATTCCAGTTTTTTTTTTTTTTGTTTTTTTTTGGAGAACCGGCTCGGCTCACTAAAGCAACTGGCTCTTTCCAAGCGACTCTTGAGATTGTTTTGTTGCAAGCAGGACTAAACCAGAACTGAACCAGGACTGAGTGTCGGGACTCGGTTTCTATCTCTTTCCTTCACTCGAGCCCAAGATTAGTCCTGGTTTATTCATTTTATGCTGAACTGCAGCCAAATATGCACTTTTTTTTTTTATCCTATGCACACGCAGATTTCTGAAAGTTTTGTTTTCAGCCGCTGCTGCTGTCAAACTACGGCTCTACAAGCGGCTTGAAGAGAAAAAGTGAGAAAAAGAGAAAACACGGCTCCCAATAAGAAACATGCTCCCGTTGTTCGCTTCAAAGAGTCGGATCTAAGAGCCGCTTCGATCGCGACCGACCCATCAACTACTAGTAAATAAACTATCGCTATTAGCCTTTAGCCGTAAATGCTGCGCACCGCGGTAATTAATTATATGCATAAATGTGGATCATTCACACGTCTATTCACAGCTCATTTACAGATCAATGCTGGTCCAGTAACAAATATACGACCAATACAGTCACTTTACAATAGACCAATAGAAAACAGTCTGTTTATGTGTGGGAGCTACAGCAGCTAATCGCTAACAAAACCTAAACTAGCTTCAAAGTCGATGTATTTCCAACACTCACCGCCTCACACAAGGCTCCTCCTCACATCACAAGTCTGAACTAATAAATGTCCTTTTAAACCAGACTCAAACCGATTGTCCGAAAAAGAAAATAATCTCAGTGTTGCGCACGACTGCGGGTGTAAACAAACACACGTGAGTGAAGTGACGTCACTCTGGTGGTGTGTTCAGGGACAGTACGGACACAGACAAATTACACCGCAGATAAATACTGATGCGGAGCCACATATTAGGACATTTATCTGTCTGTAAATTGGATTAAATGAACAGAATGTAGAGAGTCTAAGCTTTATAACGACGTATAACATGCCCACGTGAAATATCGGCCCATATCAGCAAGCATATCGGCCGATAGCCGATATGTCTCCAGGTGCCCATATTGGCCGATAATATCGGCCAGCCGATATATCGGTCGGGCTCTAGTTTTTAATCTCCACATTCCTTTACTAGAATCATTTAGATCATTTCAGAACTGGAATTTCCCATCTCTACTAAAGAAAAGCTAAAAGACGTCGACAGAACTTGAAGACTACAGTGCCTCATGACATCACAAGGTGGAACAGAGCATTTTGAGCCTTGGAGATGTAAACAGACTCAAAAATGGGTGAATGAAACAAAACTGTACGCATGTTTTTGAGGATGAAAACATGACTTAAAGCTCACAAGAGTCAATTCTGCGTAATATGGCACCTTTAAAATAAATAAACATGCTGTATTTGTTGTACGTATTCGCTCCCGTGTATGCGTTGTAAGAAGATGCTAGACTAGACTAATTCAGATCTAAACCAGGACTAAATCTGGACCAAAATGAACTCAGACTAAACATGTAAGTGCAAAAAGAGGCAAGAAATCCAGACTAAAATCCAGACCTGTTTTAATCCTGGTGCAGTTCTGTTGACCTTGGTATAGTCATGGTATAGACCAGGTTTAGTCCTGATTCAGTCCTGATTTAGTCATGGTTTAATCCTGGTTTAGTCCTGGTGTAGTTCTGTTTTAGTCTTGGTATAGCCCATGTTTAGTCCTGTATTAGTCCTGTTTAAGACCTGAAACAGTCCTGGTTTAGTCCTGTTTTAGTCCTATTTTAGTCCTGTTTTAGTCTTGATTTAGACCTGGTTTAGACCTGGTTTAGTCCTGGTTTAGTCCTGGTTTAGTCCTGGTTTAGTCCTGGTTTAGTCCTGGTTTAGACCTGTTTTAGTCCTGGTTTAGTCCTGGTTTAGTCCTGGTTTAGTCCTGGTTTAGTCCTGGTTTAGTCCTGGTTTAGACCTGGTTTAGTCCTGGTTTAGTAGTCCTGGTTTAGTCCTGGTTTTAGACCTGGTTTTTAGTCCTGGTTTAGTCCTGGTTTTGTCCTGGTTTAGACCTGTTTTAGTCCTGGTTTAGTCCTGGTTTAGTCCTGGTTTTAGACCTCCTGGTTTAGACCTGGTTTTAGTCCTGGTTTAGTCCTGGAGTCCTGGTTTAGACCTGTTTTAGTCCTGGTTTAGTCCTGGTTTAGACCTGTTTTAGTCCTGGTTTAGTCCTGGTTTAGTCCTGGTTTAGACCTGTTTTAGTCCTGGTTTAGTCCTGGTTTAGTCCTGGTTTAGTCCTGGTTTAGTCCTGGTTTAGTCCTGGTTTAGACCTGGTTTAGTCCTGGTTTTAGTCCTGGTTTAGTCCTGGTTTAGACCTGTTTTAGTCCTGGTTTAGTCCTGGTTTAGTCCTGGTTTAGACCTGTTTTAGTCCTGGTTTAGTCCTGGTTTAGTCCTGGTTTAGTCCTGGTTTAGTCCTGGTTTAGTCCTGGTTTAGTCCTGGTTTGATTCCTGGTATTGTGCCATTCTGGTTTAGACTTGAAGCTCACAAGACAAAACATTCTGCATTTCCTGCCCGTATTAAATCCAGTCTATGCGCTTCATCCTAAAAAGGTGATGATCCTGGAGGTAGTGGTCTGTGCAGCCGCTGGTTTGGGGGCGTGTGTAGCCTCAGTTTAGGCCTCGCATCACCAAACACACCGGAGAGAAGAAGAAGAAGAAGAAGAAGAAGGGGAAGAAGAGATGCTCTGGAGAAAGACATGGCGCACGGTTCCGCTACAACGACCGGGGGAAAGCGCGTGATAAAGCGCAGAGATGAAGACACGGACGGGTCTGGATGTTACCGTGCTCCTCCGCTCCAGGTCGCGGCTCCTCGGCTCATCCTCCCCCCCGCAGCAGAGAGCGCAAAGCCGGGGACACGGGAACAACAAAAGGCCGACGCTCGCTCCGGGACCAGCGGGTAAAAGACGCACTGAGTCTGCGCCGGAGAATCCACAGACTGAGCCGTGGACGGGATCATGGAAGAGGGTTTTTTTGGTGAGGGAGGGCGCCACCTGCAGGACGGAGCAGGGAGGTGGAGCAGAGAAGGTTGATTTTATTTATTTTGGGTGCGTGTGGGTTATAAATGCACTAGGGGGCGCTAAAAGATCGTTTACAGACGACGCAAAAGAGTTCTGGAAAGGTTTGTGCAGCGAGTTTGGGGTTTCTGCGTGATGTAAACTGATTAAACTAGACCAGGACTAATTCAGGTCTAAACCAGGACTAAAACAGGTCTAAAACAGGTCTAAAACAGGACTAAACCAGGTCTAAACCAGGTCTAAACCAGGACTAAACCAGGTCTAAACCAGGTCTAAACAAATACTAAACCATGATTAAACCAGGATTATTCCAGGACTAAAACAGTTCTAAATCAGAACTAAAACAGGACTAAACCAGGACTAAACTATGACTTTACCAGGACTAAAACAGGTCTAAACGAGGGCTAAACCAAGACTAAAACATGACTAAACCAGTACTATACCAAGACTAAAACAGATCTAAACAAGGACTAAACCAGGTCTAAACCAGGACTAAACCAGGTCTAAACCAGGACTAAATCAGGACTAAACCAGGACTAAAACAGGTCTAAACCAGGACGAAACCAGAACTAAAATAGGTCTAAACCAGGACTAAACCAGAACTATACCAGGACTAAACCAGGTCTAAACCAGGACTAAACTAGGTCTAAACCAGGACTAAACTAGGACTTTACCAGGGCTAAAACAAGTCTAAACCAGGACTAAGCAAAGACTAAACCAGGACTAAACCAGGTCTAAACCAGAACTATACTAGGATTAAACTAGGACTAAACCAGGTCTAAACCAGGACTAAACCAGGACTAAACCAGTACTATACCAGAACTAAATCAGGAATATACTAGGACTAAAACAGGACTAAAACAGGTCTAAACCAGAACTAAACTAGGACTAAACCAGGACTAAAACAGGTCTAAACCAGGACTAAACCAGTACTATACCAGAACTAAATCAGGACTAAAACAGGTTTAAACCAGGACTATGCCAGGACTAAAACAGGTCTAAAGCAGAGGACTGAACGAGGAGTAATTTAGGACTAAACCAGGATTTTTTCCTGATTTAGTCTTGGTTTAATCTTGGGTTTAGTCTTGTATAGTCTTTGTATAGTCCTGGTTTAGTCCGGATTTAGTCCTGATTTTTTTTTTCCTGATTTAAGTCTGGTTTAGTCCTGGTTTAGTTCTGCTTTGTTAAATGTTAAATGGTCATATTTTTATATAACGCTCAAAGCACTTTACACCAAGGAACCACTCACCCGTTCACACAAGGTGGGTTAAGTGTCTTGCCCAAGGACACAACAGCAGCATTCATCTGTGGGCGCTTTACCCTTCTTTCGTCCCGGTTTAGTCCTGGTTTAGTCCTAGTTTAGTCCTGGTATAGTCTTGGTTTAGTCCTGGTTCGTGGATCACATTTAAAGAAGTCCACATTATTTAGTTTTTGTAAAATCTCCAAAAATCAAACCCAAAAATGCCCCACTGTGCATCACCGTAGATTTCCACCAGGAGATTCTAATTACCATAAAACAAAAGAATAAAATTAATCCAAACAAACGGGTGAAGAAGCTGTGAGGAGTTTATTAAAAAAGCTCAAAAAAAAAAAAAAAAGTACAAAAAAACACAAAGAAATTCAGAAATCACAGTGTGGTAAAGTGCATAGCTTTAATGGCATCACAGACTCAGTGCAAACGAAACCGGGACAAAAACCCAAAACCAAAGTCCTGATACTCTGCAGTCACGTCACGTCGGGGGCGTTCTGTGTCTGTGTCTAGGGCGGAATGTACAGCGGTTACCACGGCGACGCAAAAACACAGCCTGAAAAGAGTGTCTGAAAAAAGAAAAAATACAAAAAGGTGAGAGTGGTGTATTTTTTGGACTATAAGGCGCACTTAAAATCCTTTAATTTTCTCAAAAATCGACAGTGTGTCTTGTGTATTAATTCTGTCCTGATTTAGTCCTGTTTTAGTCCTAGATTAGTCCTGGTTTAGTCCTGTTTTAGTCCTAGATTAGTCCCGATTTAGTCCTGTTTTAGTCCTGATTTAGTCCTGTTTTAGTCCTGATTTTAGTCCTGTTTTAGTCCTGGTGTAGTCCTGGTGTAGTCCTGATTTAGTCCTGGTTTTGTTGGGTTTAGACTTGATTTGGTCCTGGTCTTGGTCCTTGTCCTGGTCCTTGTCTTGGTTTCTGCGTGCATACAGTGACGCAAACGTGTGTAACGGATGTTTGTGATGTAAACGCGTACGCACCCTGAGCAGATCTGACCAGAGTTTTGCGTCTTGGGCAGTGTAGATTCAACTTTTCCACTCTAGAGGGTGGTTTAAGATTTTTGCATTTTTAAGCCACAAAAACGCCGTCACCGTCTAAACCAGACTTGTTAAACTCAGGCCCGGGGTCCAAATTTGGCCCGCGATATAATAATATTTGGCCCGTGAGATCATTTCAAATCTGTATTAGAGCTGCTCGCCGGCAACAGATCGACTATAGCGACATTATTTATTTAAAATGTTATTATTATTTTATATTTTGCTTGTTCTGGATTCAATGTTTAAGTAAAACTATTATTAAACATTTATTTTAATAAGAAAAGGTTTAACATTATTATATTATATTTAGTTTGGCCCATGACTTAGTCCCAGTTTTAAATTTTGGCCTCTGTGAGTTTGAGTTTGACGTCCCTGGTCTAAACTAAAGGCATTTCCGATAAAATATTTTGTCATTTTTACCCACAAGCGTTCTCGTGTAAACTGGCCCTCAATGTATATTTGAGTCGTCCTCGGAGAAAATAAAAAACAAACTTAAATTATCCACTCACATTCACATTCATAAAACACATTCCCCAAGACAGGGAGGCGTCGCCGGGTAAATTACGCCACGATCTGCCGATGGATCGTGGACGCCTGGACTCAGGATCAGTCTCAAGTGTCGTCCGTTTGTTTCGCTTAATGCTCCTTATAATCCGGTGCACCTTATAGTCCGAAAAATACGGTAACTGCAAAACTGTTGCTTGTGGCTGTTGTTCTCTGAGAGTTTAACAGCAACAAACTCAAGCTCATCTTTTGTCGTTTCTGGTCAGACTGTGTCAAAACGAAGCTCAGGTTAAAGCCCAACGCGAGTCACAGAGCTGCAGACAGAGCAGTGCCTCCAGTTAGCTTCACCCTTCCCCCCCAACATCAGGGAATGTTTATAACGTCATCTGCAGAGTATCAGTATCCATCTTACACAGGTTAGAAATGCCCCCCACGTATCCAATATCCACGCGCAGACATGTAATTTAATGCTTCAGAAAATAAACGAGATAAAATTGAAATCCTAATTGCATAGACAAAAAAAAAATCTCTTTTATCTACCTGATTTTCCCCCATGTATCCGAGCAAAAATATAAACAGAAAGATTGTATAAGCAGCTCTTGTATGGAAGATAATTTGTTTAATTCGATTTAAAATTTTAAATGCTGTTGAATTTCTCAATTTAAATGTTTTAAACTCTGGAAAAACGTGTTTGAATTATTTTTATTCTGAATGTCAGTTGATGAAATTATATGTGTACATTTTCAAAGTGAACATTTAAAAAAAAAAAAATTCACCTTAAATTTTCAGCACAAATATTTTCAAGTGCTCAGATTCAACAGTGTAAAATTTGCAATGGAAAAAAATAAAATAAAAAATAAAATCGCAGCAAAGATCCAAGATGCCCAGACAAAAAATCGATCATGTGAGCTGAATATGTAAAATCTGAACATTTTTATTTTGAATTTGGAACATATTGAAAAAATATACTTAAAATTTCAGCAACTAAAATTCAGAATACATTTTTTTAGTTAGAGTTAAAAAATTCAAAGTGAGAAATTCTTCAGTATTTAAAATAAAAAATGTACTGGAACAAATTATTTTTCATACTCTTGAGGTCAAAATAATGCTGTGTAAAGTCATTATAAAGCGTTTAATTGTCAGATTATCAGAAGAAGCGCGTTTGCATGCTAGTTGTGATGAGCTTTAGTGTCACAGTAAAACTCCGCTCTGGTGTCTGAAATTGTGAAAAGTGTTTAGAAACTCATCGTGGTGAAAATTATGTTTGTTTGAAATGCATAAATTGAGTGAGGAATAACTTCATATTTTGAGAGTAAAATGCAAAAAGTGAGCCCACACAAAGATTTGAAATAAAAGACAAAAAATAAACAAATATTTCCCTTCTGTATGTAAGAAAAAAAAAATCCCTGAAAAGTCAATCCTCATCCTCAGCTCAGTCCTCGTCCTCTCCACTGTCGTATTTTACAAACTTAAAGGGAAGGCATGTAGAAAAATGTTTAAAATTCATAAAAATGTGTTGTCTAACTGTGACTCCAGATACAAATGTGTTCAAATTAAATATAAATTCACTGATAACAACAAGTCTAATGCTTCGTTCTTAATCACAAAAACACTGGACATGATCGCTCATTTATTCATGTTATAATTTGATGTTTTGGTTCAAGACGATTGTCCAATCAGAAAACAGAATGAGCCTCACATGACTCTCTCATTTGTGTTGCCAGTTTCAACGCTGAAACGCAGTTGGTTTAAAAAAGAGCTCTCCAAACTTTTTCCTACGGTGATCCGGCCCTCCAAGACTTTTAATCTGGACCTCATCTGATTTTCTACTAAATATTTTAATGATATTTTCTATTAAAATCTTGTTAATTTTCTGTGGTGTTTATCACAGCAGCGTCTCCAGCGTCTCTGTACGTGGCCCCTCCCACCAGAGCAGCACAAATGAAGACTTGTCTCTTTCCAAACGCTCTTAAAGGACGATCGTTTTGACTGTTGACCGTGACACCCTCATCAGAAAAATGTCCAACATGAGAAAAGTGGAGCCGAATGCAGGATTTTACAAGAAAAATGGACTTATTCCTGTTTGCAAACAAGTTCATTTTAAAACATTGTGTTGAATTTGCATTTTTCTTAAAGTTATTATAATATTTTGTAAAAGAAAGAGTTCATCAATTAAAAAAGATTTCTGTAATAAATTTGTGTTTCTCTGCACAAATATTTCAACTTATTGTTATTTTTGGGGTTTATATGACATGAGTTTTCTGATCCGGCCTCTTTGG